CTTGTTTATTTGATCTATAGACCATGTGTTATTTGCAGGATAGTAGCAAGCCCTTGGACTTGGGAAGTCCAATTTGGCGATATTTCTAATGTAAGATATGATTATATTGTGGAATATATTTCAGATGCATCACATTGCATACTTCATATTATGGTACATATTCCAGGGGAAAGAAGAGGTCCCATGAGNTTTATTTTTTTATAAATGGTATGTTTTCAGTGTTTGACATCTCAGTGTGTGTCATACTTGCAAACATTTACATACTGGTATGGATGTTATAGTTGTGAATGAATGTGTTGGTGAGTGAGTGTGTTTGAGAAGGATTTCGGAATGGTTTAGAGAAGTGTATGTGTATATACTTGTTTATTTGATCTATAGACCATGTGTTATTTGCAGGATAGTAGCAAGCCCTTGGACTTGGGAAGTCCAATTTGGCGATATTTCTAATGTAAGATATGATTATATTGTGGAATATATTTCAGATGCATCACATTGCATACTTCATATTATGGTACATATTCCAGGGGAAAGAAGAAGTCCCATGAGTCAAATGCGGAAGGCTTGAAAGCACAACGTCCATCTGGTGTATGACTATTTTTCTAGTATGAAATTTTTGTGTATTGTAGTGTCAAATTATTTTGTGGTTAATGTTTATTTGATAATGTACCCATTTGTTGTACTTCCATTATAGTAAGGAACAAATGGAGAATATCAAAGAAAACGCTGATAAAAAAAGTCACACGCGAGATATAATTTGTGTTACAAATAGCGAGTATTGTTTGGAATAGTGAAATTAACAATGTCTTCCAATTGAACTTGTACTGATAAAGTGATTAAACAACTGGCTAACCAATGGAGGATGATGACAGATAGTGAGTAACAGAAATATAGAGAAATGTCTATATATGTGAAGAGTGAATATGATCGTGTGAAAGATAATTCTAGGGAAATAACAGTACGGGTAAATATACAATGTCAATGTTAATTTTTATGTGCATGGTTTACATTTACTACACCTCTCCAACTAGGGATGTCAGTGGACCGAAGCGGGAGCGGGGAGTGTAATCTTTATCCCCGTATCCGCTTAAAAAACTATGTTCATCCCCATTAACGGGTATAATTTTTAATCCTCATCCCCGTCCCCACTTAAGTTCAAGCCCAATCCCAAGTAGCATAATCTAAAATTCTAAATAAATCTAATATTTTAAATAATCCAACAACATTCTAAATAAGAATAATCTAGATTACAAACTGTAAAAGCCAAAACAATATAGTATTCTGTTTAAAGTGTCATTGGACCACAAAAAGAGAAACATAAGTATTAGAGAGAAAGGAAGAAAAGAAAAATAAAATTAAACTAAGAAAATGATAGCACTACAGTTGAAGTTTCCTATAAGAATTTTATTATTACAATTCATATTACAGCCATAAAGTGTTAAAAGATGAAAACTTAAAATTTCGCTAATTCAATAATTCTCCCAATTTGTTAGTTCACTCTAGTAGAGAAATTCATCAACCTCCATTCACAATTTTTTTATCCACAATGAAATGCAAAACTATCTTACTCTCTCTTATCTGTTTTTAGAGTATGGTCAATCTAAACTCCTAACAGTTTCAATCAGTGAACACAAATAGAAAAAAGAATAATCAGCGAAAAAAGATGATAAGATTACCACATAGCAATGCTACTTGTTAATTTGATTACCATATTTCTAGATTAATAGTTACAGTAAATATATTTAGTTAAAACTTGCGAGTATATATATATATATATATATATAACGGGTAGCGGGGGCAAGGAGGGGCAGGGCGGGGGTAAGGGTAAGTTCATCCCCGCCATCATCCTCGTACGGGTATCCCTGTATACGTCCATCGTCCAATACGTATAGTCCATCCCCGGTCCAAACGAAGCGGGTTTGAACGAATACCCGTTTTTTCCCAGTCCATTGCCATCCTTATCTCCAACTGACTTTTCTGTCTATGTTTTAATGAATTATCAAAGGAGATGCTTGGTACAAGGTGTTCGCCTGAGAAAATTGTAAAAATGATACAAATGTTATGTGATGAGCAGAAAGCTATCATAAAAGAACTTAGTTTTGGGGGGATATTGAGTCTTAGATGTGGCTAACTGAAGCGGGGTTTATATGCATGGTTGAATGAATGATTTGACACTGTGTCATTGACATTAAATGTCTACGGTGAAGCTATTCAGTTATCAGCCATGGATGTAGAATGTGTCGTGGGTTTGAGAAACGAAGGGTTGGACGTGGAGACTACTGGGGCCAGTGAAAAAATTCATGACATTTGGAATTCATTGTTCAATGTAGTTAAGGATATCCCGTTGAGACAAGTGAATGAGAGACTTTGTGCACTTAAAGTGGCTTCGAATGAGTTTAGGATATATTTTGTGCTATTTCTTATTGGACATCTTCTATACCCAACCATGTGTACTTCAATCAGCAGTGGGTATCTTCAGACTGTCGTAGACATTCCTTCTATAGGAAAGAGAAATTGGGTGAAATTTTGTATTTAATGGTATGGTTGAAGGGGTACGAAAATATCAAACACGTGATCAGAAAAATGTTAGTAGATGTTTACTTGTTCTTATGGTAAGGCATCAATTTATTTTTTTAGTATTTTTATGTTGTGCTTGTTTCACAATACTATTACTGAATTACCTATTTTAATTTTTTAATGTAGATTGTATATCTGGAGCGGGTCACACCCAAAGGGGTGTTTGTTAAACAACCGTCTTGTAGGAGCAACCCTCGAATTGTTGCATGGGGGAATGAGGAAATCAAGAAACATGTTATCATGTTGAATAAGTCCAAACGACTAGCATGTGAAGAAGTTACTTGCAAAGTTTTTGACGACACCGTGAATAGACCCCCAGGAGTCGCTATAGTAAACTTTAGTAAACGATCAACACATGAAGTGAAACAAACTATTTTGACATCAAATGAAAAACCACCAGTGCGTATATACCATGGTACTGAAATAACATTGAGTTATAATAGTTTTTGACACGTGATGAATTGTGTAAATGTGCAGGAATGGGAGACCAGAATGTGTAGGATGGAGAATGCAATTGTTAACCTAATTGGCATGGTGGACTCAATGGTTAGCATGATGCAAATGTTCATGGGTGGATCATTTCCTAAACCATCAAATTACCAAGAGATAGACAATGATACTGTTGTTGGAGAAGTTGATGAGAAAAAAATTAAAATTGATTTGAATGAAAATGTAAATGTCAATTCTCGTAATAAAGTGGATATGGACTATCGGATTTGAACACCCATTGCCGTTGTCCCCACCCCACCACCAAAACCATTCCAGGAGTCACGGAGACGGTCATTGAATACTGGCAATGAGGGTTACAAATAGAATAATATTTGTGACATGCAAGAGGCTTCTTATTCATGCACCCAAACATCGTTCCCACCAATGTAGCTAAGAAGAGATTCTAAACGGAGGCCAAGCAAATATGTGATTTCACCGTATGAACAGCCAAATGTATAACATACATCAAACTTACTGTATTAATTACATTATACATTATCCTCAGTTATATTTTACTCCCTTCAACTACAGCATCGTTGGGCGAAGAAGGATGATAACAAAGAAGGCAAAGGGGAGATGAATAATCCCCCGGATCACATTCAACCAAGGGACAATTCCATGCATAAACATTTAATGCATAAGGTTATCACAACATTTATTATTATCCATTTTTTTTTACATGTGTATGTTCAATTTCTCCTTACACAGGGCGGTTACAACATGAATTGTTATGATAATTAGGCATCGATCAATGTGTACAAGACTTCGCACAATCTTGCTAACAAAATGAAATTGTCTTGTAATAGTGCATCAATTGCTGAAATTCATAAGATTTGATTTTTGCCATTGTTGGTTATATGACAAACTTGAATGGTAGTTTAATGTCACAGATTGGGTAAACAGATTTCAAATTCTACTTTGGGTATTCCACAACACGTTGAGAAATATGAAAATGTAGAAATACTTTATCCTGAAGATAAGCAATTGATTCTGAATTACATATTTGACAAGAAGCCTGACATAAGGTATCTTTATTTTAAATGTAACCATTGACACATTTTAAAATATGTATTAATATGTGATTGAAAATATTTGTATGCTTATTTTTTGTGTGTAATATTTAAATTTATTTTTTTTTAAAAAAAAATAGAGAGATTTTAATTAGGTTTGAACATGACCATTCTGGATGCCATTCCCTCATGACACTATTACCTAAGCAATGGTTAATTGATTCGGTTGATTAATTTGGAATTTTTTTTTAGTTTTTTTATCCATATGTCGTTACCATAACTTATACCAATTGCATTTTACTTTGGTATTTTCCTATGACAATAATAGGTTGTGAACTTAGCTCACAATTTGTTATCTAATGAAGATAAGACAAATCCAATAACCGGGTTAGAGAGGTGGTAATAAAATTTTGTTCATTTGTAGTACCTAATTTATTTTTAAACAAAATTACATAATATTTTTTGATTTTAATTTTGTTTGTTGTATTCAACAACAGGCACTGTGAATGGGAAGTACCTAAAAGATTTTACATACTATGACAAGGTGAGGATTAACCATATAGTTAATCCATTTTGATTTCAAAGACCTAACACTAGTTAAATTGATCCACGCTTATCAACAATGTTTGCTTGTGTAAACAATTTTAGTGTACCCATACCCATTGCATTCATGGGGTACATAAAAACTGTCATTCTGCTGAAATTCAATCTCACTATGCTTCAAAATCTTGGAAATTAATATTGGAAATGGAAGACATGACCTACAATCCTCGATACTAGATGCTTCGCGAACATGGTTGAATATGTAAAGGGGTAGATCAATAATAACCCCACGTTCAGCAATAATATATAATAGTTGTGTTGTATCGTATCCAATCTCAGCAGTATGCCCCATCGGATGTATATTATAGGCAACAATTCGGTTTATCATCCTATACGTTGGAGTAAGGTAAATGTGAGCAATTTTGCAATTTTCATTCTCTCAAGGGACACTCCCAATACAAATACGTCGAATAACCCTTGCCATTTTGGGAGCATGCTCCTTGCTTGAATATGGAAAGATAATGGAATCTCAGGAATGTCTGGTCTATCAATTTTTAATATATTTGAAATAAGATCAGGCAAAACAGTGATGGATATCTTCTTAACCATTGTCTTAAATGTTAGCTCATTCTCCTTGTAGTCATGAACATTTACATAAAAATACTTAACCAGTTCAACATATGTTTTATCTTCTATATTCACATCAAACAGAAGTTCCCATTTCTGAGCCCTAAATATTTCAGGGCAATCCACATTGCCTACTAACTCATCAAGGTAAACACCATGCTCAATTAACAGAGGACGTTTAACAATAAATGTATCATACCTCTTATTAGCATCTTTATCCACAAAGAGTTTGGCATTGCCAGAACTTCCCCCGACAACCACCTTCTTCCGTTTCTTCGTCTCGCCGCCTGACATCAACAAAGCTCCAATGTGTAACTTTCACTCTTCTCTGAATGAAGATTCACAATGGAAAGTAGTTTGTGTACCCGATCGATAGATGAAAGAACTTTGGGGTGGTGGGCGATTTAGGGTTTATGGAATTGGGAGATTTTGAATGGGTTTTGTAGGATTTTGAATGAGTTTTGTCAGATTTGGAATGAATTTTGAATGGGTTTTGTCGGATTTGGAATGGATTTAGGGGTAATTTTGTGAAATTTGGGAATTTATTTGGGTATCATCTGATGTTTATTTACTACAATACCTCCCTTACAACATTTCAATTTATAACTCTTTGTGGNAATTTGGGAATTTATTTGGGTATCATCTGATGTTTATTTACTACAATGCCTCCCTTACAACATTTCAATTTATAACTCTTTGTGGGCATTTAAGTAAATACATCATACCTGATCTATCATATTTAGTTTCGATCGATCACAATCCCACTGCCCCTTCAACTTCACCATCTGTAACTCCATGATCGATTAGATGTCCCCGGTATTTATGATCTCCAATAATATGATTGATCACTATAAAATTTTGATCGATTGACTTAACTTACTACTTACTTATCTATCAGTAGGTTTAAACTATCGATCAAATCTCCCCAGTATTTTTTTTACTTCTGATTCACATTAAAAATCTACAACAATTTGATCGATCAAATATTGTTTCGATTGATCAAATTTTTTAACGATTGATCTTTNCAGTATTTTTTTTTACTTCTGATTCACATTAAAAATCTACAACAATTTGATCGATCAAATATTGTTTCGATTGATCAAATTTTTTAACAATTGATCTTTTCTCGTCAGTGCTTTTATTACTTCTGATTCAGTTTTCAATTATGCAACAATATGATCGATCAAATACACTTATTACTTAATGATCTATCATATTTTTACACGATCAATCAGATCCACACTGTACTTTTATTACTTCTGATTCAAACTACAGACCTGTCCCAATATGATCGATCATCATATAAGTTTGATCGATCAAATTCAATACTTTTCTTTTTCCTTTTTCACTTCACCTTACCACATCTGATCGATCATATATTTATTCGATCAATCAATATTTAATAATCGATTATATATTACACTGATCGATCCATTACGTTGACTACAAGTATATTATCTTCGTAAATTTATCCACTATGGTTGTAAATATATATTTAGTTTTGTACCTATCCCAATTAATTTTGTACATTTCTTACTGATATAGTACATATTCCATTGCCTTTGTAGTTTGTTCCACTAATTTTCAAAATTTCTTACTCTTGTTTTAATTATACCATTCATTTTGTAATTTTTCCATTAATATTGTTAATCTCAAAATGATTTGTAAAAACACCTTATTGAGCTAAATAAGATCGATCATTCATATTCGTGATCGGTCAAATTATATATATATATTTTTTCCTAAAATTTCCTTTTTCTTATACCACTCCGTACCACATATTGATCGATCATATGTTTGTTCGATTGATCAATATATAATGATCGATCATATCTTATATTGATCGTTCTATTACGTTAACTACAACTATAATATCCTCGTAAATTTATCCACAATGCTTGTAAATAAATATTTACAATTGTACCTGATGAGGGTGGAATTTTGAGCATAGGCCGCCATGATTACAGGCCAAAGAATCCCACGGCCCAAAAAGAATATCCTGGATTAGCCCAGTAGAGGAAAACCCAGTGGGGACCAGAAAGACGATGGCTCAACCTAGGCCCAATCAAGCGCCAGCCTAATGATAGCCCAAGAAAGAAATGGATCATTCATCCCTAGACAACCCCACCATGCCACGCGTCCAAGGAACAAGGGGACCATCTCTGAAACATGCGGCAATTGCGTATTCCTGGACATAGAGGATGGTGGAGCTTAAGGTCCCAGAGATCGTGGATACTAGGGCAACGACGGAGAAAGACTTTTGTAGGACAAAGACAGGAGGTCCCCACAGGATCAACGAGAAGGTAGAAGATACCACAAGAAACCCTAGGAAAGAGGACCCGTATATAAAGAGCAATGCCTTACCAGAGAAAAGAGAGACTTCTCCTAGCCAGATAAAAACTCTGTGAACAAACCCCCACTCCCTGTAAACAACCCAAAGCTTGTAACTTGATTATATTTAACAGAAACTCAATACACAACAACGAGGAGCAAGAGACTCCATTGATAGTGGACGTAGCCTTAGTCTATCGGCTAAGGTGAACCACTTACATTCTTTGCCTAATTGTTCGTGATAAATTAATCCATAGTCTACAAAACCTGGTCAGAACATTGCCCTATCATAGTTGGGCTTGGGCCTTAAATTCCGAGCACCATCAGTTTGCGCCGTCTGTGGGAAACGTTTTCATCGTTCTTCTGAACTTTTCATCTACTTGATGGTTTCAACTTGGAACATGAGTAAAGCTCCAGCCAATCCCCANCTATCATAGTTGGGCTTGGGCCTTAAATTCCGAGCACCATCAGTTTGCGCCGTCTGTGGGAAACGTTTTCATCGTTCTTCTGAACTTTTCATCTACTTGATGGTTTCAACTTGGAACATGAGTAAAGCTCCAGCAAATCCCCAGGTCCGGCAAAACCAGCCAAAAAACATCCATGTCCCAAAAGTAGACGCCAAGGATCATCCTTTAATGGCAAACCTCCCACCGCTCAATGTAGAAACTTACCATCGAACTACGATACAATTGATGAAACAGAACTAGGAGTTGATGGAATGAATATAGACACATTAGCTCCCTCGGTTCCCACCATCTCGACAAGAACCTCCTCCACCCCAAGCCGAACACGACGCCCCTATTCAGGAACGCCAAGCTCCCCCAAATGGAATAACAGAACTCCATGAGCACAGCCATTCTAGAGACAACCACCGGAGAGGTCGCTTGGAAGTGGGCGACGAAGACGAGGCCCACAGTAGGGCCAGGGCCATTTATCGAGAAGATAGAGCCCATCCCCTTGAAGATGCCATGTATCCTTTGTTGGAACAAAAACTCCGCGAGCTCCAACGAGAAGTGGGCCACATGAAAGAGGCAGTTTAGGGAAGGACCCCCGACACTATGAATGCCCTGGTCCAGCAAACTGAGTCGCCATTTGCCCCCGAGGTCCTCCATTTTTCCCTTCTCCAAAAGTTTTGAATGTCGTTGATAGAAGCGTTCGACAGAACCAAGGACCTTGTCGATCACTTGAACTCCTACAAAAATCAGATGGAGCTTCAGGATTATCAAGACCCAATCTGATGTCGGGCTTTCGCCATCACCCTCAAAGATCGACAATAGCCTGGTTCAACAGGCTGCAGCCCGCATCAATTTCCTCCTTCAGGGAATTATCCATACAGTTTGTATCCCACTTTATAGGGGCAAGAACGTATAGAAAGTTGTCCTACCATTTATTAAGTGTCAAACAGGGACCCATTGAGTCCTTTTGGAGCTACGTTCAACGCTTCAACCAAGAGTGTCTAAAAGTGAAAAGCGTGGACAACAAATTCGCTTTGACCACTTTCATGTCTGGGCTCGGGATTCAATCCAAGGATCTCCTCTTTTTGATAACAGAGAACCCTCAGGCAACCATGACCGAGGTGTTGGCGAAAGATGAGAAATATATCAATGGCGAAGAGGCCCTTCACTTGAAAGGGGGCTCGACGCTAGTAGAAGGTGATAAAAAAAAGAGGGACCGTAATCCCAAAAAAGAAAGGAAGTATGAGCGATCCCTAGGAAGGGACTGGTCCCCAAGGAGGGGAAAAGAATCTCCACCCAAGAGGAGAGGCAACGTCCGAGACCGCCTGGGACCTCCTCCACAAGAGCTGCAGCCCCGATTTGTCCCAGCGCGGCTACCGCCATTGGTCACGTCCATTGCACAGGTCTTCCACGAGGTTCAGAACGAAAAGTTTATACAATGGCCGCCTAGAATGAAATCGGACCCGAAAAAGAGAGACGCCTCCATATACTGTGAATACCACAAGGACACAGGCTATAAAACTAATGATTGTATTCAGCTTAAGAAGGAGATTGAGTTCCTAATCCAGAGGGGACACCTACGCCACTACATGACAGATGAAGGAAGAGCCCAGAACGACCAGGGACGGGGGACCAGAGCGGTTGGTGAGCCCCCTCAACAACACCAACAAGCGCATGGTGAGATTTGCGTAATCTTGGGTGGGTTTGCTAGAGGAGGCGAATCCAGCTCAGCACGAAGAGCACATCCTTGGAAGGCACGTTCAGAAGATCACCTTGAAGTCCACGTCGTACGAAAAGATACCACATCGAGAAATGGAGATCACTTTCTCGGATGCGAACCTCAGAGAATGTCAACACCCACATGACAACCCCCTGGTTTTAAGGTGATCGTCGCCAACAAAATCGTACACCAGGTGCTCGTCGACAACGAAAGCTCCGCGGATATCATCTTCTTATCAACTTTCAACCAACTGGGCATAAAAAGGTCAAAACTCGAACCCGTGAAATCCCACCTACTAGGTTTCTCAGGCGAGAAGGTCCTACCAGTTGGGTCCATCCAGCTCATCCTCACCGTCAGGGAACAGCCTTGTAAGGCTACAACCACTGTTCGATTCCTGGTAGTAGACGCTCCATTTGCTTACAACATTCTGTTGGGAAGGCCATNGTTGGGTCCATCCATCTCATCCTCACCGTCAGGGAACAGCCTTGTAAGGCTACAACCACTGTTCGATTTCTGATAGTAGACGCTCCATTTGCTTACAACATTCTGTTGGGAAGGCCATCCCTTAACTCCATCAAAGCAGTACCTTCGACGTATCATTTGGTGATGAAGTTCCCCACGGAGAATGGGGTCGGCATCGTCAGGGGGAACCAACGCCTGGCCAGAGAATGCTATGTTGCGTCAATGAAACAAAGGAAGGTGGAATCGGTCCAGCTAGAGGACCTGGACATGAGAGACAAATTAGACACTAGGCCTAACCCTACGAAGCAGTTGGAGCACGTACATTT